TTTAATTTACTCTTCATTTCAATCAACGAAACACTCATTAATTTTGTACACATTTTCAAACAATTAAAACACAATTTAAATACAAAATAAGATTTATATTTGAAATGCACTGAAACTCAATGGAAAAGGAAATGAAATATTATTTTAAACCAAATTCATATCCTTTACAACACGTGCTCTCATTGATAGCCAAAACCTGTTTACCAAATATTATTACCGTGTTTTCAGATGCAGTATATCACTAAACAGACAATTGATAAAATAAATAGCCAATCAAATTATTATAAATATAAAATAAAATATAACTATTAAATTAATTTTATTATTTAAAATAATTATTATTAATATTTATTTATGTATTTATTTTATTACAAAAAATAATTTCCCCAAAAGTGTTCACACCTTTCGGCGAAGAGATCAGTAAACATGTGTTTATCACTCAATGGATTTAAATCAAGTACTTTTGTCGCCGAAGTATTAGACTTTTTATCCAAAAATTCAAGCCATTGTGGATCAGGATTGCTATCAAACAAAACAAAAACACCATGCTTAAAATTTATTTCATCATCTAGTTAAGCCAAAAATTTAATTTTATACTTCATACCCTGTTTTAGCGAAGTTAGTCCACATCTGCATCACTTGTCTACTAAAGCCGATATCAATATCCGTAAAATTGCGGCCATCCATAACAGGGACACCAAACACAAAGGGCAAGTCTGCCATATGGCAAATGCCCATGGTGCTCTCCACGCAGCCCACATTTACCATATTCCTACTCTGATTCGGTCTGTTCGTAGTAATACACGCGACTATCCGGCGATTTTGTACCGTATTGTCTGGCATATAGATATGCGGGACAATTGATCCACACGTCGCCCACCATATCATAGAAAGTGTGTTTCAGGGACTGGGAGTCCGTTGTGTTCACACCTTTCAGGTAATAGTCTTTGACCGCCGGTATGTCTATGTCTTTGAATCGTTCGTTCAGCTGATCCATCAGGACATCGAAGTCGGTTTCGTTAATATCTCTGGCAAACATCCAATTGAAAGCCGCCCGCGATACTAATGAACCCTCATTTCGGGACACGCCCACCATGATGTCTAGACCTAGATTATATAAAGTTAGCTTAATCATTAGTATTACTTTTCATTGCAAACTGTAAACTGTGCATGATAGATTTTATTTCATTATAATATTATGTCTTATGTATTACATATTGGTTATCACAGAGAACTGGATTAATAAATTAAATAAAATGCATAGCTTAAACTGAACATTTTATAATTAACATGCACATATTTTAGTGTAGTTTATAGTTGTAATAAATTATTACTAATAATACAGACCTTGGTTGAAATTATTTTTTATGAACGCATTTTGAGCATTTATCTCAGGCAACAACTCAGTCGACTCCAGCGCTGAACAGGTATTCATCGGAAAGGTTTTGATCAGCTCTTCATAATCGGTGACATTTCGCAGACACTGTAGCCATTGGTTGCGATCGGCGCCACAATTGAAATGATTGGCCATCACTTTGAACTGATCCAACGCTTCCGTCTTTGAAATGTATGGCCGCTTTT